TGGATCGCACATTATATCGTGAGGAGAATCGCGGTGAGGCCCTCGGGACAGCGGCATATCCCAACAGTGGATACGAGTACGCCGACAGCTCCAGCCAACGTCAGCATTTGCTAGCCGAATCACCGCCAAGCTACCCTTCGTCGCGGAGAATATCAGATCCATATCAACGGCAGCCACATTCGCCCCAGAATTTACCCTTTGTGCCTGCTCGACCGTCCTCCTCCCGTAGTGCCCAATCCGACCCCACGTCGACTCCTTATTCCTACACGCAGCAGCTCTCCCCGCGACCTCTTGGACATTCACCATCTCGTTCCCCAGGCTCTACGTACAGCCTTCCTCTACCCCCGCGCCATCCATCCCACTCTCCTGTTCTCTCGTCGCGACCGATCCCCACATCACCCGTCAACCGTCACTACGCGGTACAGCAAGGCTCGCCTACACATCCCAGTCTTCAGCAGCCTTTCCAATCCCCGGAAGCCTTGACACCCGTCCCGACCTTCGCCAGCGCATCGTCGCTTTCACAGAAGCACCTACCCACCTCTCACCGCTCGACACAACCCCGCATCTTCCCCGTGTCCTATCCACCTCACAGTCTCTCCGACACGGTCGCGTCGCCTCACGGGAACACGGCCATGTCCCTGCCGACGATCATCCACAAGACTTCTCCTGTGCTTTCACCTTCTGGTGGAGATTTTGGTGGACTCGAAGCCCTCGTGCAGGCCGCCACGGAGGAGCGGCGAAGACTGAGCGGAGAGGCAGGCGGTGCAGGTCTGAGTAGGCGGGAGGTAAGTCCGTCAACTTCCAGGAGTCCCGTGCTGTTGCGCGGCAGCCCTCATCTTGAGGTCCCAACACAACTATATGCGCCGCGTTCCCCCACTCTACTAGGCGTCGGCCAGGCAGACCTGCGTTTGGATGGTCCAGATGTCCGCACCAATTACTCCTCTCCGCGAAGTGAGCGTGGCTGGGATGGGGAACCAGCTATGAAGAGGCGTCGTACTTCTGGTGGGGACACGAGGGCGATAGCGGATAGCCGATATCCGATCTCTCCTGTGGGCTCCTCGACTCTCTCGCCACAAGCATCGACCATACCCACAATGCAGTTCACACGAGAAACGTCTATGGGTGTACTCGCAAGCCCCAGTGACTCGATCCGTCGACAACCTCACAGTCCACGCGTCGTTGACGTCCCAACATTGGGGGACAGCGGGAAGAATAGGCTCACTACGGCGGACGTCGCCGATGCCTCGCAAACTGGGAGAGATGTGGTCACGAAGAAATCTGGTACAGGGCATCACAAAGACCGCGAGAGTGGAGAACGGAAACCTTCGCAGGAAAAGAAGAAGCGTAGCGAGGGATCTGCCGTGAAGAAGAAAGAACCTAAATTGGCGGCGGATCAAGAAGTGATCAAGGGCGACACTAGAAGGGCGAAGGAGACTGGGATGGCGAATCAGGACCCTCATGAGTGGTTGCTTGAGCACTACTCCACGTCCTCGCCCCGACCGCCAAAGCGACCACTGTCTCCCGGCGACGACAAGATCCGACCCGTGACATCCCTACCGCCTGAACGTCCCCCGCAAACCGACGCAACCGAGGAGAACACGAAGGAGGCGGCTGAAGCGCGTACCCCTTCCCGTCCCTCTGTTATTAAGAAGAAGCCCAAGAAATTACGTAGTCCCACAAGGACGCCTTCCCCGCTTGCTATCCTGGAGCAGGAACTGGATGGAGCTGAAGCCTCCTCGCCCGCCCTCGGCAAGCTTGATGACGCGGAAGTCAACCTGGAACTGGACTTGGCGATCAGTATGACGCCCGATGCTGGGACGACCACGCGCGACGATCCCATGGATCTCGACGTTGAGGACGAGCTGCTTAGCCTCGTGGACGATGGTCCGCGCGCCTCTTACAGTCGTCCAGCACCGAAGGCCTCTCCCGCTCGGCCGAGAGCAGAGTCCGCCCAGCCCGGAAAGCTGTCTGCGAATACCACCCCAGCTCGTCCGCTGGCTGCCTCACGCACCGGGTCTGAACGGGGCTCCATGCCGCCCCCGCTCGCTGTCAGCCCTGCCCAGGCGAAAAATGGTACCCTGGGTGGGCCGACCAAAGATGAACCAACGGAGGGTGCCAATACGCTCAACGGTGCTAAGAAGAAGGATGGAGCTAAAAAGGTGTGTTTAATTGATAATGCCTGTAATATAGTTGACTGTAATATAGTTGACTCAATGCGCTCATTGCAGCCTCCCGCTAAGCCAAAGCAGCCAGCAAAGCCGAAAGCCAAACCAGCGCCGTCTACCACTAAACCAAAGGCGAAGGGCAGTAAGGATACTGCTCCTGCCGCTCCTAGCCCTGCACCCGGCACCCTGACTGCAGCCATTCCTCCTGCTGCCCTCAAGGGGAAGAAAGGCTCTCCCCTACCCGGCTCAGGTGCCATGGGTCACAAACGCGCCTTGTCTGCAACTATAACACCCGCGCGTTCGAGGTCTGCGTCAGTGATGCCGGGGGCGTCGGTTCCTCCCGAGGTCGATGGCAAGGGTGATCAAGGCAAGGAGAATACGGTCGACGACAAGCTGTACTGTGTCTGCAAGACCAACTACGATGAAGATCGCGTGATGATTGCTTGTGATCGGTACGTCTCCCATCTTGATACATTATCTCATGCTAAATTGCTGCGTGCTGTAGGTGCGACGAATGGTATCACACCCAATGCGTGAATATGCCCGATCTGGAGGTTGACCTTGTCGATCAGTTCATATGTCCGCCCTGTGTACAAAGTATGTGTACGCTCTCGCAATTGTGTACGGCTGTTAACGGTGCATTCTTGCCAGGCAATCCGCACCTTTCTCTTAGCACGACTTACAAGCGCCGTTGTCTGGCTGGATCAAAGCACCCGAACCCCGCATCACCTGAAGCTTGTCACAAACCTGCGCGAGGTATTCTATCCAAATACTGTTCTGACGAGTGCGGGTTGGCATACATGCAAGCTCGCATCGATGCTTGGACAGGCGATAAGCACCGACTCTGGGAAAGTGTCAAGGATGCAGAGAAACGTGAGGGCATTGTCGTCCGCGCCGTGGCTATTGCCGCGCCGATGAATGGCATCACGAAACCCGAAGACTCTTCCGAGCCGCCGGCGGCACGTCCGCAATCTGATCTGCCTGTTCTTGAAGCTGTCAAGGCTTCGAAAACTCGTATCGAGCGAGAGCTGGCCCGCCTTCACGATCAACTGGAGAGGCTCACGTGGCGCCGCGATCAGCTGAAGAAGAACATGGAGATCGTTCTCTGGCGCGAAAAACTCGTTCAGTTGGCCACCGCACGGGCGGAGGCGCTGGACGAATGCGGCTGGGACCAACGGCTATGTTTCGGCGACGAGGAGTATACAGAGTTTGGTGCTGGTGTACTTGAAAGCTACGAAGAGCAGGGTCAGGACACGAAGGAGAACGGTGATGCTATGGAAGTAGACGGTGCTACAAACGAAGAGGGTGAATGGTGGTGCAGAGGAAAGAGGAAATGTGATCGCCACTTAGGGTATGAGCAGCTTCATTGAACGGATGCATGATCTCTGACATCCGGTGTGCACATTCTAGATGGCAGAAGCTGCGAGCCGGCGAAGTCGAGTTCGACAAGGAAGCTATGGAAGCTGCTGTTTTGAAGCTCACCACACAGGAGCGGGAGATACGGAAGCAGATCGAGGACGTCACTGATCCTCAGGCCCGCGCATCTGCTACGGCGTTGTCCACGTCGCCACTGCAGCTATTAAACTGCAAGGTGGACCTGGTCAACCTCGAGCCACCTATTGTGAAGATCAACGGTGATACAGGAAAGAAGGGAAAGAAAAAGAAGAACTGATGCTGTGCATGTATTCTTATTCTCGGACCATCGTAGACTCTTGACATCTCCATTCTTCGTTCATGCATTGTACGCCTATTGCAAACCCGCTTTCAACATTACGTAGGTTCCAATCACGCATAGTCACGCAAGTTTCCTTGTATTATAGACAGTCGATGAGTGCAATATGCAAGCGGCGAATAACAAAATACACGAGGGTGGGTCCTGCTGGCGTAATGAATCTGCCAATGATGAGGCCTCCCTGTATCACTGAGCGCGATGGAATATGTGAACAAGTCGAGAGTGAGGTAGGAAAGGTCAGACGGAGCATCAATATCCGTCCCCTTCGCCCCCTTCTTTGCAAAACCCATGGTGATCGTACAAGACTTGCGCCTTATGTTCATCGCGTTGTTTCTTGGCTGTGACTTCTTGCTTGTGATAAGGCTCCAGGACGCTCCAATCTACTTGTCGAAGAGGAACCTCGTCTTCCTGGTCCAGGTCCTACAAAGCAGAGACGAGGTGAGCAACTCTGAAACATTAGCCCAGCACGTACGATCTCCCCAAGCAGGACGACATTCTCGCCACGAATGAGGAAAAGCCCCCTCCATGTCTCAGCGAAGACGTCTTGATGGTATATACGCTCGACCGTATCCTCCAAGACAAGGTTAGCTTAGCTGGCAGTCAGCGTAAGTCGAGATTTCGAGACGGCGGTCTTTACCGAACTGGTCGTATGAGCGGAGGACACCCTGGAGCTTCCTGCCATCTCTAAGGACTACAAGCATCTTCCCTAGCTCGGGGAGACAGCATTGAGCAGGATTGAAGAGTGACAGCTCAGAGTGTATGGATACGTCTAGTTCGCTTGAGAGACGTACTGTCCACGCAGTCCACCAGCGATCCAGAAGTCGTGAACGGTATCAGTGAATCCATCGCTATGTATTGGTTGCCCGCGACCAAGAGAATAGACGTCTCGCTGCTGAACGTCCCCTTGCGCCAGGGAATACACTTTTGGATGTCGACGAATGGTTCTGGGTTGTAGTCCTGTTTATCCTCGGCTCGGGGCGTACTCTGTGCAGAGTGTATTCGAGTGTACAATGTTCAAGTTCCGATGGTCCACCACGAGATATATACTCTTCCCTCCCGCAGTGATTTGCGGTCTCGAGTGCGCAAAAGGAGAACTGACACTAGCTGATATGGCCGAGTGGTTAAGGCGAGTGATTTGAATTCTGCGTGTGCGTTTCGCATACCATCCACTATCACTTGGGCATCGCCCGCATAGGTTCGAACCCTATTGTCAGCGACCTTTTTGTCACTTGCTGGAAATCCAAGGCATTGGGAAGTTGAATGGGCGTGGGCTCGTTGACCCTTGTCGAATCACCTTATCTGACAATCCGACATAAACTCCGCTCTGAGCGGCTATAAATATGGGTGGGGAGACGTGGCTCTCAACCACTGCCCCATTCTAGTCTTGAGGACTCGTTGTTGTCGTCCTGGAGAACTTCCTCGGGGCATAGATGACAGTTGTCGTGACGTTCGGTCTTCCTATCTACTCACTCGATGTACAGTAGATGGCGGCTGCGGTTTATCGTTATAGAACAACGTCACACAATTCTTGACCATTGCAAACAAGGACCAAGTCAGGGTGGAAGGCATCTATAATCATGAATAACAATGCCTGAAACTTGTACATGCAAATCGGAAGTGCGTTGCAGCAACTTGGGCTTACAGTAGGCGGCACCCGTACATACATCTCCGTGCGCGTGTGCCCTCCCCGCACGCGCAGTAGTCGCGAGACATGTACTGTTCATCGGCACAATGAGGCCGTCAGTATGGTTTCATACAGAGTCTACAGGTGATGCAGTCGACATACGGAGAATGACTGTTGGGTGACATCATGACGATGAGGCCGTCGTGGTCTTGCCGAAGTAATCCCATTGTCCTTGCTCTGGTTTCTCCTCTAGAGGCTCCCACCTGCCGATAGGATGTCAATGAAGGCAGGATGAATGGTCAAGGCCTCAAGACATACGCCTTCCATTGGATCATGTTCTCCACGAGGCTGAGTTCATCCTTCGCAACATCGAGCACCTCTTCAATCTGACCCTCATCCAGCTGCTTCTCAACCTCTGCAATGTTGCCGTTCGCGGTTTGCACAATGTTGAGCTTATGCCGCGTCAGAGCCTCGACACCCTGGCGATAGACAGATGTTGCGGGGATGGACGACAGCTTTGTGAGGGTAGACTCATATGTCTGCTTCAGTTCGGGGAGAGGGTCATGATGTACTTTGAGGCCGGTGAAACCGGTTGTCTTCTTGACCACCTGGTTGAAGACTGGGCGGGTAAGGCGGAACATGGCTGAAGACGAGTTGGCTGCGACCACCGCGTCTCCGCATACGGTAGTCACGAGCGCTCGAGCGCGTTTTGCGCATCGTGACCTATACTGCTCGTGCTCACTCTCCCCTTCGGCGACCATGGCAGCCATTGCACAACGGCAGACTCAATCACTTCTTCGTACATTCAGGCTACCATTTCTAAAGCCTCTGCTTGCTGCGGCAATGCTCCCAGCACTCGCCGTACCACGACCATTTGTCTGGGCAATTCCCGGTCTGCAGTCCCTCATGGAGCTCTTCCCTCCTTTCCTCCTGGCAGTACCGAAGAAGAAGGTTTCTCATTCGAGAAAGGCCATGCGAAGCGCAAACAAGGGTCTGAAGGACAAGCGGAGTAAGGATACTGGATGAACTACTGTGGATTTCGGCTCAATGTCCTTCCCACTGTAGACCTTGTGCACTGTCCCGGCTGCGGTTCGCCAAAATTGGCCCACCATTTATGTTCGAATTGCTATTCGAGCTTGAATCGAGCATGGAAAGCAAAAGCAAAGTCAAACAATGGCTCCTATTCGGATGTCCCCATGGCTTTGGACTAATGGGAGTACGAGTATGTCCCGGCACACCCCTGGCGAGGTCATGGCACCGACTTACCGCCTTGCCTCTGCCAGCCTATCTTCCATATGACCGCTCGCACATGAGCTTTGTCTACTGCCGCAGTAGTCACCGGCAATACTGCAAGTGATGCACATTTCTGAGGCGCAGGAAGCACGATCGAGCAAGACGGACGTGCGCACCTTCGAGGCAACTGGATTGGCCTTTTGATTCACACCGTAGTATACATGATTTGTACAGTCTAGAGAGTGGTCCGCCGCATGCATCCATCTTGCATCCACCGAGTATGTCCGAATGTGTGTGTGCGAGCGGCTCATGGCGTTTGGAGGGCCGCGCGCGCGGCGACCCGATGACCGCTTCGCGCGTCGACGAGGTCGTGATCAAAGTGTGTGGGGATCGCCTCTCCAATTCCGGCTCTTACACGATCGCTATATGTATCCCCGACCCTCCCTCGTCAAACGTCCTCGCGTCTCTGTTCCACAATGATCTCCCGGGTAGTGCAACGAGTCTCCGTATCTTCTGCACGCACTCTCTCTACGCGGGCTCGGGGGCGCGCAGCTATCCTCGAGAAGCACCCGGATGATGTGGTAATTACATTCGCCAAGCGCACTGCTATGGGCAGAGCAAAGAAGGGACAGCTGAAAGATGTGCCTGTCGACGAATTAATGCATGGTCTATTCAAAGTGAGCACGATCGAGAGTGTGGCAACCAGGCAGGCCTGAGCTGCGATGTACTAGGCTACTCTGGACAAGACAGGGTTAGACGCGGCCGCAATAGAGGATATATGTGTCGGTACGCACTATGCACTCCACCGCGACTAAGACGATTCAATTGACATAACGCGACGCCAGGGACGTGCCATCCGCCGTCACCGCTCTATGTATCCCGTGCTGCAGCCTTGGCAGCAGGAATACCTGCGGAAGTCCCAATCTCTACTGTGAACAGGCTTTGCGGTTCTGGCTTGCAATCAATCAGGAGCATAGCCACTGCGATTGAATCTCGTGAAATCTCGCTCGGTATTGCAGTTGGTGTTGAAAGCATGTCCATGAAGTATATAGATCTTTCCATAATTGACGTGATCTCCTGACCAGCTTCGGTAGTCCTCGCCCTACACCACAGGTTGTTGAAGCGGTGGGTGCCAATGCACAGGCATACGATTGTGTACGGGTAAGAATCCCTCGAGATCAATCGAGTGCAACAACACCGATAGACTTACTGTATGCAGCCCATGGGTTGGACATCCGAGATGGTCGCAGAACACTACAAGGTGCCCCGGGAGGTGCAAGACAAATATGCACTCATTTCACACACCCGCGCGGGGAAGGTATGCCACTCTGATCCTACCTACCAGCAAAAGAGCTGATTGACCACTCAGGCGATCACGGATGGGACTTTCGCTGACGAGATTCTACCTATTGAACTCCGAGGGTCGATTCTCTCTGTGGATGACACTGTCCGTATGGGTGTGACGGCGGAGTCTCTTGCCTCACTGAAGCCTGTCTTTCCGGACTGGGGTGAGGCAAGCACTACGGCAGGCAATGCCAGCGGTGTGGGCGATGGTGCTGCTTTGTGCATCATGACCAGAAGGGATCATGCAGAGAGAGAAGGCCTTGATATAATCGGTAAATACGTGGCGAGCACCTTTGTTGGTACGTGTCGCTACATGAATGTCGTGCCGATGACTGACATCACAATTTGCTGAAGGCGTTGAGCCGCGGTATATGGGTATTGCCCCAATATACGCTATTCCCAGGATACTTGCGGAGACTGGCTTAGCCCAGGAAGATATTGATGTCTGGGAGGCGAGTGATTACGAAAGTCAGGTGTTTATACTTTTAACACTTTCTCGCGTTCTGTTTAGATCAACGAAGCATTTGCCTCGCAATTCGCATACTGCGTCGAACAGTTGAACATTTCTATGGAGAAGATAAACCCCAAGTAAGGCGGTGATCCTTTACTGATGTGCCGGGTGCTGATATATTGGATCCTATAGCGGGGGTGCGATCGCGCTCACACATCCCCTCGGAATGAGTGAGTGAATATAATTCCTAAGCAACGAACCGAAAGGTAATCAACCCCTATCACAGCGGGCACTCGCCAGGTGATCACAGGTCTTGCCCAGCTCCGCCGGCAAAACGCCCAGTTACTCTGTACGAGTATGTGCGTGGGCAGCGGGATGGGTGGTGCAGGCATATTCGTGAATGAAGCATAATTCTGGTTCTCCGGAATTCCTATCCATCTGCCTTCTCCGATATCGTACATTCGTTACGAGCCGATTCATACATCCATGCCGTCATTCAATCAAAGTCTTGCTACCCCCAGTCCCTCAGATGATTTGAGGGCGGTATCCACAATTTCCATCATCGCAATGACCGCCTCTTCTTCCATGGTACGTCCAACAAGCTGCAAGCCAACCGGCGCGTTCCAAAATTTCGTGACATCGTCTTCCCAGCGAGAAGTTAGCAAACGCCGACACTAGTCGCGGATTGCACGTACACATTTCGTAACTTTCCTTATCTTTGGCGTTCAAGAACTCCTGACGAGGTTGTTGAACGTCCAACTCAGATTTAACCCGTGTTACAGGGAACGTGCATGCGGGGTAATCTAGCGCGTTCCATATCATCGTATAGCTTGCGAATCTGTTCGATTGACATTGAGGAAGACACTTCCACAAGTAACGGTACTCAGAGACGTACAGATATTTTCCATGTGGTGGGGCTGGCCACGGAGCGACAGGTGCTATGATAGCGTCGACCGGCCTACCTGTCCCAGTAACTTGCGTTGTCTGCAGCCAATGATCCAAGTACTCCTTGCGCAGCTCTGTTCTGAAATTCTGCACCTGCCAGAGCTCGTATGCTGATATCCCTTTGGTATCTGGCCGGAAGGCGGCCTCCGCAACACCGGTATCGACTGGATTCATGGTGGCGATGACGGGTTCTCCGGTAGGAGCAGTTGTCACTTCGAAGTCGCGATCCGCGCCTGCATTCCAAATCGCACTCTTTCGCATTTCCAGGTTTTGGCAAAATGAAGGATATCATATATGATAGGGTAACATACCACAGTCCTGCACAGTTCGAGGTGCTTTAACGGTTTCCAGTCGATCACTGTCGTACACCATCAATTCCGCTGATCGAAATCAAGAATCAAAGAACTGTCACTCACCCTGGTGTCCGGCTTTGATTAGGGCATCCTTGACGATATTAAGTGCTCGATTAATCGGCGGAGACGGCACGACAATTCCATCGTCCCAAATGATTGCAAAGCACAGCTGCTGCCCGCGCCCGTGCTCGATCAGAGCATATTCGTCATCGTCCCAATGCTTACGGATCGCGAGAGGGTCTTTCAGCCAGGGTTTCTGCTGAATT